TCGTAGTCTCCTCAGCCTTGTAAACTGCATAGTTCTCCAATTCTTGCACGGATTGGTTCTGGAGTCCCCCCGAATCACGGAAATCATTTCTGTACTTACTTCTAGCAGCAGAGTCAAGTGCATTTGAATGTGACGAAGAAGAGGTCCCTTTCTCCTCATAACCATCAAAGAGATCATTGCGAGAATTCTGAGTCAGGTCATGCTCAGAAGCTCTCCCTTTAGAGGAATTAGGCATCTTCTTTTTATCAAACTCATCGTCAGAATCAAATGGGTTGGATCTGGAAGAATCCGCATACCCAGATTCAGCAGGGTTATGCTTAGCAACCTTCACAGGAGATCTCTTTGAACTATACATTTGCTTCAGCTGCAAAAGTCGGTGTAAAAACTACACAGCGGTTACCTGCATAAACCCGAGCAATTGGGAACATGTCTTACATTTCTACATATATAAAGCAAAACTTCATATGAGAGCGCAAGCAAGGAAAGTCGGCACATTACACACTTAAGGAGGTAAATATAAAGGCGCTTCGTGTAATCACAATAAAGTCTTCAAGACAAGGAACGAAGGAAGTAACAACAAATTACCGAAAGACACTGCAACAAGGACGGAGGAAAAAATCTAAGCACCAATTTGGAAAAGAAAATGGGTACAAACGCAAATCAGAAACGACAGTAGCAGGGAAGACACCAACATGTTGATAGTAATTGGGTGGAGGCGGGATTTACAAAACAAAGCAACCCACCACACGGGGGGGCATAACCCAGAAGTCAAAACCTTCAAGAAACAACCCAACAGGTCGATCGACTCTTGTTTTCTTGAACCCTTTACTGAGAACTACAGGAAAATTCGCACGAATTCTCCTTCGCACGTCAGACTAAGCACCGGAAGATCTTGAAATTCCGAACAGCAGCACACGACGCCCGACGAAAGCGGATATAAATTCGAAATCAATCAATCAGAGCCTATCAACCAAGTACCTGGAGATGCGGCAGAATCGAATCAAGAAACCCAGAACTGAGCGCCCAGAGACAACCCCACGAACCCAATACCCAATAGAGCCCAGAGAGAGACAGAGTAAACGGAGTCAAGAAGAAAGGAAGGGAAGGAGACTTTGGCTTGTCGACAGAAGAAAATGCGAAGCGTTGGACGGAAGGAGAAGGAATGGGACGCGCCTAAGCCACGCCAAGCACTTCCGTGTTTGAACAACGGAAACTCGCAAGAAACTGCCGGCCGAGCCCGTCATTGTTCTTGTTACTCTCTAACTTTTTTCCATTTTATTTCAAATTTTACGATGTCCATATCTTAATCTATTCTAGTATTTATATACTTGAATCCTACCAATGTAGCTTCACATTCACACGTCCATTTGGATATAAATATTCCATGAAACTATTTTTTTTGAGCGGAAAGTGAAAAAGAAAAGTTACTTTTCACTTCAAAGATCCGGAGAAATGGACAAAACGGGCGAGCGCTCCTTCGGATGTGGCCGACGCCATAAACAAAATAGGCGAAAACCCTAAATTATGCCAGTTTGACATATTTACCCTAAAATATGTCATAATTGGGCAAAAGTCACCAAAAATTCTAAAGTATACCATTTTGACAAATTTACCCTAAATTTTTTTTTCCCCGCAACACCAAAAATTCCAAACTTGTACATGTGTGACAAATTTATCCTCCGGCAAAATTTTGTTAATGGAAACCGTTAAAAATCAGTCTACATAGACACTAAAAAATAAACAATACTAACATGGCGCTCATATGGCTTAAGTGAAATAAAGACGACGTTGTTTTGACTAAAAAATCATCTAGGTAAATATGTCGTATGGGTGCAAGTTTAGGGTTTTTTATGTCGCAATAAAAATTTTAAGATAAATATCTCACAATGGGTACAATTTGAGGTTTTTAATATTACAAAAAAAGTTTAAGGTAAATGTGCCACATGTACAGTTTGGAATTTTTTTGTGGCTTTTTTCCTAAATAATTTCTTTTTAGGACCCGACTCGCCCGATTTGGTCAATTCTATATAAAACAAGCTCTAATAATACAATTGGGCATGATGCTAGGCCTAGCCTAGGCTCACTCTTGACTGGGTCTATTGAGTAATGACTATACTTAGCTAAACTGACCATTATTTTGGTGTTATTACATTTTGTATCTTTGATCTAAGATTCTACCTGCAAGGTCAGGTTGGTATCCAACTATAAACTTACATATTTTAATTTATTTATCGTAAGATTATTAAGCCTGATCTACCAACCATACTTTGTGGTGAGATGTGATCATGTATTTAAATAAGCGGATTATATTCAACTACCCATTAGAACTTCCTCATATAGTTTACTTAGATTAATTTTGTAAATCGAACATTATAGCAGCAAATATTGGTAGGCTTGTAATCGTCCCTTACTTTCTATGCGATTGACCCTTAATTAACAGGGATGCAAGTATTGGTAGGCTTTCAAGATGATCCGTGCAATTTCCTTCGATTTTGCGTCGAAAATTGACTGGAAAACCGTACTTTCTTTCTATTCAATTGACCCAGTACATATAAAATCATCATCTGAAAAATATTAAAAGCAATTCTGAAAGTTACATAATAGAAAATTAGTTGGATTAAGTATTTTGGACATACACGTCCTTTGATTATTACCCTCGTAAGAAGAAAAAATCCACTAGTAAAGTATAACTAGGGATTTTCGGAATCGACTCGTGTGGGCTCAACTCAAATGAGCAAGTTGTGGCTCACAAATTATGTCCACAGGCAGTCTCGAACGTTCGGCGTGCGCTTCTTCAGTGGACCGGTCCATCGAGGAAGAAACGCTTCGAGAAAAGTACATGTAATTGTATGACACTGGCAACTCGGCGCGGCTCAATCTTGAGCTCGAACCCTGACCCCCCAACCAACTACGTGCCTAAATTTTCTCCGAGGTCCTATCATCTCGGTTGGCCTGTCCATTTTGTAAATCTAACAAAGGGCTGAGCCAAAATCATTACTGTGGTTAGTGTCTTTGATGTCTCGGACATTGGCCCCGACATAATTTAGAGGTGGGATGCACATCCAATCCTCCACAACAAACATTGCTTCCCACTCAAAAGAAGAAACTGTCTCCTCCTGATTTCATTGCATTCTTGTAATGACACATTCTTACAAGGAAAAGCAAAGCCTTGCTGCACAGATTTGACAAAAGCTTGCACCTTTAACAATAGCAAGTGGATTGGAATGACATCCTGACTTGCGTACTGTACTCATTATATAGATTGAAGACTTAGTCTATCACAATCTAATAAGCCACAGTATAAAGTGTGACATTTGACCATTGCGGTGGTTGGCTAGTAGTGTAGGACTTACTCTCAAGTGATTTAAGGCCTCTGGTCACAGCACAGGTTCGAAATTCCCAATGACTCCTCAGCCTCAATAAACCTTGACCCATCCAAATCGTATGTAGGCCCGCTAAACGGGTGGGTTAGGTCGGGTTTGGATTAGGTAAAATCGGCTTTTCTTAGTTTTACTTGGAAATACTACATAATGCTTTTTTAGGGTCATTCTTATATTCAAATGAAAAACAGTTCTTATACCAAATAGATGTGGTTTTAATAATTAAAGAATTATGAGAAAATTATAGTCGGCTTCAAGATTCAATGCATATCAATATCATTTAAAGACTTTTTAATTGATTTTGAATACAAGTCGCATACATTGCGATAAGATAGGCAAAAGCAACTCAAAAAGAGCCATACAATTCACTTTAACTTCATGTTGTTTTTGAGCATGATATGAGCACCTCAAATGATACTCAATAATATATTGTGTGTTACATTGCATATTTTAGCGAAAAATCCATAAAAATTATGATCATATGAATATTTACGTACACAAATGCTTGCTAATTTACGGGAGATAAATGTGCTGGAAATAAAAATCTTCGTACAAGACGATGGTATTTACTATATAGACATGATTGGGAGGCTTCACATGCATCGAGGAGGGTTGCGAAGGACTTGGACTTGTTCTTGAGAGCGGGTTTAAAAACAGTGAATTGAAAATAAGTTCTTCTCGGACCCATTAGATCCGGTCATTATTCGGGTTATCTCGCACAACCCATATATGACCAAACTCATTTAATATGTTTACGACATATTTTGACACCTCTAGTCGTAAGTCTGATCAAGCCATGGCCTAATCCCGTTTCTGCTCCCACCGTGGTTGGCCGACGGAGACGTGCCGGTAGTAGCCATGACTCGAAGTCGATATTCTAATGCAGGTGTGGAACTTCCATAGCAATGCCAGGTCCATCTCTTTAATCGATAAATAAAAAATACATTGTCATCTAGCCTCCCTAAGATAAGAAGAAGAACATGTCACAAATTCATATCATTCTCGGTTGGGCCATTGGCGTATGCCATTCTAAACGACGAGCACACGGTATTCTTTAGTAAAAGGCGAAAGAATAGTTCGCTCTGTGCTCAGAGTGTGGCTGCGTATCGGGCCTCCTAAGATAAGAAGAAGAAGATGTCACAAATTCAGATCATTCTCGGTTGGACCATTCTTTTTCACGCATTTTGCGCCGTGACCACTTGTTTAGAAATGGAGGCGGACTTCGCCAAACCCTAGATAAGACCCCACTTGCACTTAGTCGTGACTTCAATAAACACTTCATTATCGGAGGTGGGAGTTCATATCGAACGCTTTACTTGTATTATCAATGACCATTCAGATCTTTATCTATTTGTTTTGCGGTGATCGAAGCTGTTCAGATGTTGAGGAGCTGAGGGGTTTCCGAATGCGACATGTGAGGTGACTAAACAGAACCCAGATGGCATCTGCATTGACACTTATTATATTTGCACTATGTGCTCTTGACCTCGCCCACACAGCAATCTGATCTTTCGACGCCTCCCTCATGTCTCTTTGAGGCCAAGTTGAGACAATTACCAGCACCAAACACTGTGCTTCTGATAAAAAAAAGTTGCAACTAGTGCTGTGGGAGACTCAAGCTTGAGAAGAGATAACAAAAGGGTATTCAATGCCAAATTACAATTACAGTTTCAATGTACTGCTAGAAGAGACAAGACTTTCCCAAAGAGTGGCTGTGAGAATCTGAATTCCACTTCTTCCAACCGAGTATTTGAATCCGTAGAGAATCACAAATAGAAAAAAGGAAGGAAAAATTAATGTCAAGAAACTTGCCTGTACACTCTTTGAATCTTTTAGGGGTCAAGTCAACACCCGCAAAGCTCGATCAGCAGTTGAGACCAGCAAGAGCCACATGATTGTTGGGGTTGCTTCCCACCCACCATGAATTGAAGCTGACATGGCTGCTACCTTCTTCTTCTTCTTCTTCTTCGTCTTCTCGACGATCTTTATGGTCTTCTGCTGGAGCTGGAAGGTTGAGATCGAGAAAGCCCCGAGTTTCCGGGATCGGTTTCGGAACTATGAGGGACCGAGTGTTTGTAGCCAGTAAATGAGATCTTTTGTGACCACCCAAAGCTTGGCCTGATGCGAAGACCTTGAGGCAAATTGGACACTCATGCTGCTTCTTGCACTTGTTCAACTTGTTATTAACCTCAATTTTCTGACCAGATAAATGAGTCGGGCCATCGACACTTCCCATCTCAATTTTGCAAGATTTCATGAGCTTATCGTCACTGTTATCAACTGGGGCAGGCGAAACTTCAGCTGCTGGGCTGTTTGCGCTGCTTTCTTTCCTGGAAGCAGAGTTGTCCTTGGTTTTGTTGTGGCTAGCTTTATGGCCTCCCAGAGCTTGGTAAGAGTGGAAAATCTTGTTGCAGATGGTACACTCGAATTTGCTCTTTTCACGACAATCTAGGACCTTCCCAGATTCTGGAAAACCATCAGTTAATTTCTTCAAGGATTTAACCCTCAACTCGGGATCATCACAGTCAGAGAATTTCCTCTTACTTTTGTCACTTTTGAAGGACTTCTTCTGGATCCGATCCAACCCAGCTGCCTTGGCCGAATCCTTCACCATGCTAAGTTCCGGAACCTCACACTCCGATTTGTTTTCGGCCTTAAACTTGCGAATTTCATTCAAATTGTCCATCCTGGACCTGTGTCTTGAATTCTTCCCTGAAGAAGAAAGTTCTGTTTTTGATTGATCCAGTTGATGCAATTCACCACATCCTAAAGAACCAGACTCAAAGTTGTTCTCTTTCACTTTCTCCAACTTCACAACCTTCTTAAGATCAGGTGACGGATTCTTAACGTCGGTCCTACTTCTATTGTCAGATGAGTCAGCAACATAATCTAAAGCCCCTCTATTATGACCAACCACATCCCTAGAGAGCATCATCAAGCACATGGCCACCTCTTCTTGTTCTTGCTCAATTTCGGAAACACAAGAAGCAGCATTGGCAAAAGATAAGGATGAAGAAGTCGCAGCAGTTGCAACGTTGTACCTCTTTCTCCTCTCCGATCGCCTCCTTCGATTTGTGATGACGACTTCACCATCAGATTCGCTGTCCATAACCAGCTTCCGATCATCGCTGGTCCTTGAATCTCGATCCTCCAAGCTGTTGTCGGGAACTCTCTCCTTCTCTGAGTGGCGCTTCATGTGGCCGAAAAGTGCCTTCCAAGAATTGAACCGATGTCCACACTCTCTGCAGAGCTTCTCATGAGGTGAAGTGTCTTCGCTCAGTTCTGAAAGCCTCCATGTTTTCTTGGGGTTCTCCCTCAGGCCATAACCACCGTTATTGCTGTTTGTGGGAGTGAGAGCACCAGTGCTACTTATGGATGATGAGAGCTTCTTCGTGTTGAGGCTGAGCTGTTTCTCATCTGCTTCAGCTGGACTGTTGTTTGTCTGATGAGACCTCATGTGACCTCCCAAGGATCTACCACAAGGAAAGCTCTTGCTGCATAATTTGCACACATGCTTGAATTCTGGATCTCCTTCCATTTTCTTCTCGAGAAATCTCAAACGAAAAAGAAGTATTCCGGATCAGAAGAGCGATGAAAAGAAACTAATTTACAAGCCAATTGACGAATTCATGACTCTGCGACAATTCTCGAGTCTTGACATCATTCACCTGAACTCAAGCCAAATGTTAATGGAACAGAACAGGACTAACAGGACAGAGCAAAGTACAAAAATAATATAAGAACACCCCAGAAGACAGAATCAAGAAAGGAAGTAGAATTTGATGACCAAGCTCAATGAGAACAGGTAATTCACAATTCTTGAGCTGACCATGGTATTGCATATAACAGAACTATGAGCTACTACAGATCTGACTTCGGAAAATGGGATGAGAGTTCTGTTGAGAAGGAGTAGTAGCTTCCTCTCAGTAGCTTCTGGGTTGTTGGAAGAGGAAATTTTCAAGAAAATTATAGAATGTGAAGAGTGAAGAGAGGTGGGTGGGTGTTTCTTTTGTTTCTAATGATGTGGGAAAACAAGTCACAAGAAATTTTTAGAGAGAGAGAGGGAGAGGGAGAGAGAGTGTGTGTGTGTTTCTTTCTCTCTCTATCTATCAATAGTCTAACAATTTAAACTCTTACACTCACCGTCTTCGTTTTCTTTCTTTTGTCTAATTAAGGGAGGAGAAATCCATGCACGGAAGCAAAGATAGAAAGAGGCAAAGGGAAACATGTCAGCACGTGTACTCTCAACGAGAATCCTACGCCATCATTCACTGATCCGACGGCCAGGATCTTTCCAGCTAAGCCGTTCCCGTGGGTCAGAGAGAACCTACCCAAACTAACTGCCTTCTAACTATTCCTTCCTTTGTCTTGCTACTAAGCAAAGCCACCTCCCCCCCCTTCTCTCTCTCTCTCTCTCTCTCTCTACAGTGAGAAGTTCCAATCTCTGGCAGTTTGTTCTTTGTTAGGCTTTTCTCTCTCTCTCTTGAAGGATGCAGTTGGGGGTACAATACATTTGTGAGCATAAATCAAGCTGCTCTCGTTTGATTGATCGCGAAAGGTTCAATTTGATGCATTCGCGAGCATTAATCGAGCTGAAGTTCGGATTCCCTTAGGTGTAGCTTTCACTCCGATACAGTTATTATCCTTCACTAATGGTGGATTCTTAACCCAATGATGACCAATTCAATGCACCCATATTGTGAAAGGAACATCTTTGCGAGCATCACCAATCGCGTAGCATGCGGAATAGGTCGGGTCTGGCAATTGAATTTCAACTCTCCGTTTAAAGATATGACATTGCAAATCTCATATCGAATAAAATAGGCCAGTCCAAATGTTTCATATGTAAAAAAACTGCCCTTAAATAGTCGTTAGCTTGAGTGGTTATACCTAAGTACTTCTCCTGAAAGCTTAATCCACACGGATCAAGTCGTTACCATGACTCTAGATCTTGTACGCATGGTTAATTAGCATGTCATTTTTATCTTTGGGGTTAGCAAAATCTAATTGCTTTCCAAACCTGGCAATTTGATGGTAATATAGCCAATATGTCCTGTTAAAGAGAAAATCATATTAGCAAGCAATAATTCAACAGTAGTAACTATGACTTTGGGCTCTTTCGTTAGTTGGAGGACATGGTTTTTCTGGGAAATCTTAACTTCACGCATCTTAATGATTCTTTATGTGGAATTGATTTTTGTGTGATCCAAGCAATGTATCTCTCCCCCATCATGTTCGAAAAAGGGGTTGTCGGCTCGAAGCTTTTTCATGCAACAGCAACATTCACTGAGCAACCAAAGTGGCTACTGGTTTTGGGAAAAATAGTAATTCATTCCTCCTCCTCCTCTTCTTCAAATTCTACCGTTTCAAGTTGAATCTTGCCATCATAAGTGTTGTTGTTCATGGTTAAACTCTAGATGCTTTGAGCTCAAGACATGCTTTTGATCTACTCACGAGACATTAACAACGTACCGAAGCTTGATTGTGTAGGAATAAAGATAAAAACAGTCCGAGATCAAAGCCTCTCTTCACTAACTTTGAAACCGCGCATGTCTTGTCGAGACCTTCATCAAATTTGAATCTCTAGATTAAAAGTCAGGACTTGGGAGTTAGGATTGCCGATTGAAATTGGATATGTGTGATCACACAAAGAGAAGATATAAGAGCATGGTCCCTAAAGCAAAATTAATATAAAAAAAGGTCCCCATCAACGATTTTATACTTATACAACCTGTATGTGTGATGCAGGAGCCCAAGCTGTCTAGGGTTTGAGTTGTTCTTTGTTGGTTTGTCTCGACGAAAAAGAAGCTTTTGGATGTGATTAGTTCCTTGATCAACAAAGTGACTATGTATAGCCGGCATTTTGGTCATGCATAGGGCCGGCTCTCTCCTAGAACCAACCACAACGTGACCGCATTCGTGCCATTATTGTTATTTAGCAGCTATTGCTATATTAATGTAATCTAACCATGTTTGCATAATGTTGTTGTACTAAAACCCTCTTTTGCGCTGCCTTTTGCCGGCAGTGAACTGCTTTGGTTAGCTGTTAACTATGTATTGATTGGATTTTCCATTTTCATTTTCTGTTTGCAATGCATATGAGAAATTAATTAGTGTGTGGTTCTTGGGAAAATTAAACTAAGAACGTGAAGGACGATCATTGCTTTTGCATGTACGTGCTAGCGACTTTTAATTTTCATGGCAGCCATGCCAAATTCTTTGCTTTTCTTTTTTCCCAATTGGGTCCTTTCTTGGCCACTCCTTTTAGCTAATTGATCAGCCAAGTGTCAGCTTTGACATTGATCAGGTGATACTAAGATAGTTTTGCACTTTCAAGATTTCAATGGAGTTACATGATGAATGTGATTGACATCTATGTGGCCAAAAATGTGGTGGGTTGGGGGATTAGAAGAGTCGCCCAACTACTAGACTTTGTCTCACATCAAATCTTGTTTGCCAAATGGGATCTTGGGGTAGTACATGAAATGAATATGTTGACATTCATGTGCCCAAAGGGTTGGAAAGATCAACTAATGCATCTACCAAGTATGTCCTTACATACCCTCCAATGGTTTTTTAAATATAATTGATTAAACGATTATATCCATGACAACTATATTATTGCTGTCAACACAAATGCTAACTTTGTAACAAGTGGGCTATGCTTGGCATATACTGCTACCCAACTTCCTGTGATGCTCATGGAAACTTCACTTGAAGGCTAAGAGTGTTTTTGGCCCATGGGAAGTGGCTTCATGCAAATTGACTCGCTATATATTCCAAGAAAGGGAAGTATAGATCACTACCAGCCTCTTTCTTGTGCCTATGCCTAGATTTTTAACTTATGCAAAAGCTGAGATGAGATGTCTCTTCCAGATTTAATTGGGCGAAATTTCATTTATTGGATACAATCTATGTTTGTGGTGAGAACGAAACTGAATCGATCACGATATGAAAAAAAGCATACGAATTCACTTTTATGGCACATGAAGTATGCCCCTCATGATTCATATACTATGAGGGGTCCAATTTATTACTTGACCCGCAATCCAAAGACCTTAAATAATACATTCAATCAATACAGAGAAGGTAAACTTATGCGAAAATCAATTTGGAATATCATTTCACCGCCATAAACTTTAAAAAAAAAAAATCATACTTCACTCACGATTGTGCATACTTTTAACTAAATTTATGGGTGTACCGCAGCATTGGGACCCAAGCATCAACGTCCAATGCTTTAACTTTTTCAACCTTTTCGTTTTCACAATTTGGGCTTTGAAAATTGAAAAGTGCTCTTATACCAAAGTTTATGAACCTGATTATATGTGGTGATCGGAGTAAATATAAACATAAGGAAGCAACATGTTCTCCCCATGTTTGGTTAATTTGTCGTTGACTTTGATCACCTTATCTATCATTCCATAAACTTTGATTACTAGGCACCTCTCCGGTAATATATGGACATATTGATATGACAAACTGTAATTGGAAATTGCACAAATGAGTCATGTTCAAGCAATCAAAAGGGTTTATAACATGCGCCAAAAGTTCGTAAAATCAATTGTATAAATTAGTTTTAGGCTCCGTTTGTTTCGCGGAAAATGGATAATTTAGAAACCATTTTCCTAAAAATGAACGCTTGTATCGCTTAAAATAATTAATTAATAGAAAATATTCACATGTCGATAATAATTTATATTTAAACATTTTCATTAATGATAAAAACATTTTTCATTCGTTCATTTTTGTAGGAGATATATTGTTCTCCTCCTAATGCTCTACTACGAATCTCAGGTAAGCTGTTCCATCTTCTAATCCAGTGTTGGCTAAAGGATTGATTTTGGATGCCAAATGCTAAACAAATGCCATTGAGTCATGTGGGTCTCTTTACTAAAACTGCAAGCAAAAAGCTCACTCACTAAATTCTCGGGAACGTGCATCACCAGCGACTTGCATATAGATGCACAAGGAGTTGCTTTGCTTTGATTGGTCGGTTAAGATCTAGCCGACACCAGGTATTGGTGATCATTAACCAGATAAAGCATGATTACAGAGCAGCATAAACCAGAAGCATAATTCATGCTTTAATCAGACGACAGCCCCCGGCTTTGGTTCTGTCTGACTGTTGGGGAATTCTCACTCTGCTGCCTCAGAATAAGATTCCCATGAATTGGTTTGCTTGACAAAGATAAAGCGATCTAATTTAAACTATAAAAGATCTTGTTAAAGCATCGACTTTTCAAGAAATTTCAATTAAGCGTAGTAGGTTATTTTTATCTTGACGTGACGAAACAAGAAATACATAAGAGTTCCCTTGAAAATTTTCAAAACATGGTACATATTACCTTAAATGCTCTAGGGACGGGTGACACTTGATATTATGAACATGGCTCATTAGATCGGTGGACCAGGAGTACATCGTTTCACGGGGACAAGCTCATAAGACTTGGCCATATCTCAGAAGTACATCACTTTCTTTTTGCAGTTTCAAGAAACATGACACCTATGAAAAAGAAAAAAAGAGAGGTGTCAGCCTCCAAAGCCAATTGAACTCATGTAAGCAAAACCAGTGGCCAGCCTTGTAAATGAGAAGATCAATCAAAATGCAACCATAAACCAAGTATTAGCTTTTATATACCCATGAAAGGCTAAAGGATCCATGTGCTCTTTCTACTGGCAATAATGATTTTGTCAGGCAAGGATGAGTGCTCTCACCTTCTACACTTTCTACTCAAAAAGAGCCAGAGAATATTCAAAGGAAAAACGAACTCGCCTCAAAGCATGAATGAAACAAGATTCGTTCGTCATGTGGCCATATCTAGTCTAATGGATGAAGAGGAGGTTTAGTGGGCTAAAAGCTAGGACTCAGCAATAATACACACTATCACACAAATCATGCCGTGAGGTGAATAATCCATATGGGAAGAAAATGCGAATATGACACAACAGGACAATCTAAATGTGCATATCGACATGAATGCAACCTACTCAATCTTAAACTCAAAGGAAAGAGAAAATGACATAAATGATCCATGAATTTCGGCCTAATATATAATGTGGCCCGTGAATTTTTAATTTGTTCAATGCGGTCCCTGAATTTTTGTCCAATGTACAATGTCATCCCTCAATTTCTAATTTGTTCAATGTGATCCCTAAACCTTCAATATATGTTCCCGGGCTATATAAAAATGTCCAATGTTGTCCCTGAACTTACTTTAATAGAAGGATAATATTGAAAATTCTCCTATAATTCATAGACTAAATTGAACATATACCAAAAGTTCATGGACCACATTGAACAAATTAAAATTTCAACGACCATATTGTTATTCAGTCAAAGTTCAGAGACCATTTATGTTATAATCCCCGAAGGAAACAAACCGGCAAAAACCTCAAAAAGACCCCCTCGGAGATGTAGACAGCAACGAAGCACTAGGAAAATTACCAAAGAAGTCATTAATCTATTGAAGTTGTGCCAATTTAGTTATAAATTTATTTTTTTGCCAATGGATTTCTAAACCTTTTGCATTTATGTTTATTCAATCTTTCCGGCCAACTTTGGTCGGCCGGTGCTAACGTAGATGCCGACCGTCCTACGTGGCACCGCCGACATTAATGTTGATAATTTTTAATATTATTTAATATTATTTCGAATTATTATTTATTATTTATTTTCTTTTTCTTTTTCTTTTTCTTTTTCTTTTTCTTTTTCTTTTTCTTTTCTTTCTTTTTTTTCTTCCCTTCTTCTTCTTCTTCCTCTAGCTAGAGGCGAGAGCTAGTGAGATCAACCTCGCTAGCCTCAAGTGAGGCACAACCTATTTGGCGAGGTCGAGCCTCGCCCAGCCATGACAAGGTTTGCCCGCCTCTGGCTGATCACTAAGGTTTAGCGACCGGTTAAAGGAAGAAAAAGGGAAGGAAAAAAAAAGAAAGAACAGAAAAATAAAATAAAATAAATATTAGAAATAATATTAAAAATTATCCACGTCAGCGCTAACCGATCAAAGTTGACTGAATTGACTGAATTAGCACAAAAACAAAAAGTTTAGGACTTAATTGGCAAAAATAAGAGTTTAGGACTGAATTAGTACAATTGAAATAGGTTTACAACTTCTGTTGTAATTTTCCCATGAATCAACTAGCTATTGCATCTGGCTAAAAAAGAAAAATGAATATTTCACTTGTTTCAGAAGGTAAACTGGACATTAGGATCCAATGGGCTCGTTGGCTCGGTCCATGTATACTATATGAGGTGAAAGTTGACGACTCGATTATAATGGTCTAGCAAATCATCAGATTCAACAAAATTTTACATCGTCCTCTACCATAGCATTCAATCAAACATATCCATGACCAAAGAAACCAGGTTTTTTCTATGGTTTTCACTTGGAACAAAGGCGCACTCAAAGCACAGAGCACAACAATATGTTTTGGAGCCTCCGTGGAGAAAAATGAATTCTCAGAGTGCTACCCAAATTACCTACAACAGAAACACGGTCGCAAAAGTGCACCATTTGTCGAGAGGGAATAATGAACCGTATCATGTTCCATTCAAAAGCAGCTATACAATTAAACCATGGAACATTATACCTTAGTCTGAAATCTGCCAACGTTCTCTCTTTGAAGGCGAAATGCCTACAAAATAGTCGACAAGAGACTGAAGGGAAGATGAAAAGGGATTATACAACCAGAAAGCAACTTAAGAAGATCATCCCTTGAGAGGCAAATAAAAAAATTTGTCACCATAACAAGTGAAACCTGCTGACCTTCTATCACTATCTTACAAAGAAAGCAGGACTTCCATTATGGTAATCATACCATGGAAAATTGGACAGTTCCTATTTTCAACAGGCTAAACTTCATCGTGGCAGCATTTGTCTAAAAAGGTTCAGTCATCGAAAGCAATGACCAATAGGCGCTAGCTAAAGCCCTTCTCATCTGCCTCACGGTTCCAAGATCCATCTCCAAAGACCTCTTCAATCATACTGCAAGTGGGCAAGAAATCAAATTCTGTTTTCGTGCAAGCTATATAGCCAGCATCCCAGAACTTAGTATCACAAGTATCCAAGACATAGTCATGACCACCACCCCCATTCAAACAGTGAAAGCTACTAGGCAAGCGGTCCCCATTTTCACGCTTCAACTGGGTATCCGGAACTGCGGCAGCCAAGCTATCATAAGATGTACATGAATCATCTTGATCTCCCCTGTCATCCCAAGATTTATTCCTGAGGTGAGAAGTGGGACTATCTATCCATTTCTTGGAGCATGCTTCTGCAGTATCAGAGACAACCTCTCCCACTTTCAGAGTAACATGCTCATCACCTTCACAAGTTTCTTCAGCAATTCCCTCATCAACTTCATTTATTTCTTCCACATTCCTGACACAACCAGGGCCAACCCCATGTTCAGGAGATTCAACAATGGAGTCCTCGTCTTCCTCATCACTTGCCTGCCATTCATCATTATCGCTGTCAATGTTCACTGGGTAACATCTGTTCTGTTCAGCCCTCTTCCGGAGCATGTAAACATTGAAATAGTAACTAATAATTTCCCTTCTGGTTCGTGAAGGAAATCTGAAAGATAAACTATTCCAGAAGTTTCTGCCCCTAGATGACGGGTTGGAGAAGACAACTTCATGGAATAATTGTTCTTCCTCGTCACTCCACTTCTCAGCAACTTGTTCTCCCATGTCATGGCATCCAGACTCCACAAATCCTTCATTCCCAAGTTCCCTTCTGAGCAAGTCTCTTTCTTCGATGATATGTTGCCCAACGCATCTTATGGAACCTTCATCCAGGCAGCTACAGCCAGCACGACCGGCTCCAACTTTGTCATCATAGTTATCATATACTTCAGAACCAGGCAATGGAATAACACAAGTTCCAGCAAACCTTCTGGCATCTTCATCTCCAGCAATAAGATCTGAATTTAAAATTGCAACGGATTTATTCAAGTAACTCAAACTAGTCATGGCATCCTGTTGGTTCCAGGGTGACAGGTCAGCTTGATAATCTAGTCCAATGGGAACTGTTTTCTGTGGTGGATGCCTTAAAAGTAAAGAATAGTTATCATCACGACAACTAAAAGCTGTAGCCGGCTGGTTAAAAGTGACATATTCGGGAGAAAAGAATGCATGGAGACGTCCTTCTAGTTGGAATTCTTTGCTGTGATGTGCATCCTCCACATTACTTATAGAAGGTTTTGTCATGCTATCATCAACGAGCTTTTCATCAACTTCCAATTTTCTCTTTGTAGACCACTCTTCACCTTTACCAATTACAAACGCAGGGAATCAGGAATAAAAGAGATCATAGATAACAACATCTGTTGAATTTGTAAAACTCTGGACAACACGTTAGTCTTGTCAATATGACCTCACTAACTGCCGAAGAAAACAAGGAAACATTGCCCGCATATTGACATATGGGGTGAATCCAGACCCACCAAAACCGATATGTGTATTTATCTGCAAAAATCTTCAGTGAAAAAGAGCAGACAACAAATAGCGCACAGCAGTATTGTGAGCAAGCAGATGAAACAAAATTTGGCCTTAAGCAGCACCGTAAGTGCCTTTTTTTACTATAATTACTAATACAGGTTAAAGATTTGAAAAAACCGTAATTAACATCAAACTAACTGGCATGACTCCATAAGAGTTAACATTTGAAAAAATTACTCAACTCCAGGGGAAAATACATATTTGATCAAGCCACAGTCAACCTCGGCAATGATCGAGGCTTCCTAACCTGGAGACTCAGAGAACAGAGAAGAATGTTGGGAAGAATCAATTCCAGGTAATGCATGTAGTGGACTATGTTCCTCTTGTCTTGGTAGCTTACAGGAAACTTCATACGATTCACCATCATCGAAAGGGCGTTTCACTACCATCTTTCAACTGCAGTGCATAGAGGAGAATCAAAAAATGCATTGAACAAATGCAAACTAAACAAGCTGGTAAACTACCAAAACCCATGCATGCTGAGAGGTAGTTTCAATATACATAACCTACAGAATGAGCTTTTGTAGCAATGCCGTGAAGAGAATCATGATGTCACTATATAGTTATATCGTAGGTAAAGATTTTTTCGCTACGCAATGAGTACACATAACGGAGAAGGAAGTACATGTGGAAAAAAATAACTAGTAGGTTCAGTTTAGCAGCAACAGAGTACTAGCTCTCATCAGGCCTCATAAGACGAAACATTCTGAACACTTGTACACAAATATAAATAAACTTCTTCCTTACCAAAAAAAAATATATATAAATAAACTTCTTGGTCAGACGTCCCCAAGCCAGTAAATCTTCAAGTTCATAACATTTTGACATAAATAATGCATAAGTTTATTTGAATTGTCCAATGCGTATAACCTCACAGTTGCGGTTACTAGTCAAGTCCTTCAATCGGCCGTGAGTCAAGGAAACTGGCATACCTAGTAAACTTTCCAAATCTAGCTTACAGTGGCATACCGTAAAGGAACCCTTGTACCGACTAAAATGTGGCTTTATTTTTCCCCTTGTCCATACCAAATTAAGAAATACATGCCATGAGACTTTCCTCGTTCAGATGGGTCAAAGGCCTTCGAGTCTGAATTTGCAGAGTAGGCAACTCAAGAGTAATAAGCTTTTTATCTGTCCTTTCCTTACCTGGAAAGAGTTCTATTCCAAGATTGGACAAAAAGAAGGGTGGGTCCAGGGACTTTATCTTTTCCTTATTTTCAGCAACATCAGTCACCTAATTAGAGGGTAATTAATAACAGAACTAGACTTCTGTGCAATATCTCTATCATCATATTATTTTTTGGGGCCTGCAATATCTCCGGGCACTAATGTACACAGGTAAGGCTTTACCAAAATAAATGGGTTCCCAAGTCTCATCTAAATGCGACTCGACTCAGCCAGGTGAATCATAAATTCATGATGGTTCAATATAAATGTAATAAACATCTTCAAAAAGATGCAATTAACAAGGTCATATGTTCTGGAAAAAATCAAAATAAGAGGCAGGTTTTACCTCAACAATTGTTCTCTTCAATTGATGCAGCAGATCCCTAACTAAGTCCAGAATCCCTCGAATTAAGACGGAGCAATGTACACAAATCCGATATCTTGATGCAATCGCCCAAAATCCCACCTTCGGAACAAAATCCCCAAATCCGAAAAAACCCTAACCCTAGATTTTTTTAATGTCTCCGAAAATCGCCAAATTCACGCGAACCAAGGAAAGATATCAACAATTACCCTCGTATACACCCGGTGATTTCACCGATCTACAGAGGAAAGAGCTCAAATCGGAACCCAAAAACCTCGCGAGCAAAAACGTCGAAACCCTAGAAAAGTCAAACCCGATTCTTCACAAAATCGAGGCTCGCAAGACCAGAGAAAATCAAACGAGAACCCAAGACCATCCCTTTACGACAAAACCGTCCCAGATCTGAGCTTGCAAACCCAGATCTAAACCTCAAAACCCTCGAAACGCGATCAAGACGCGGCTGAGCCTGAAAAAGGTATGGATCGATAGAGGAGAGCGAGAATCGAAGGGATACGACCTTGATTTGTGGACGAGGAGGAGGGATCCGGATCAAATCGAGGGGGGACGAGATCGAGATCGAAACGTGGGGAAAATTGCTAATGACAGAAAAGGGCACGGGGTAGGGTTTGGCCTTTTCTGTAATTAAACGATCCGAGGAAGGAAAGTTCAAAAACGGCACGTATCCGACCGTAATTACGGCGTATAGACAAGACCGCTTGGGACATGGTTGCGGTGTACATAAATTGCATCAAAAGTCCAACGTGTTCCGTAATCTTTATGACATTAACCCTCATTTTTAGGGTGCCTTCGCTCGGGGGAAATTTTTTTTCAGGAATTAATTTTCCGGACTTTCATCTGTTTGGCTCGCGAAAAATGACCAGTTAACCGAAAATACTTTCCGATCAATGAAAATATTCATGCATAAATTTAGAAAAGTGAATTTTGATATGCAAGAAGGTGAAAATATTTTTCGAAATTGTTATCTTGAATTTTTTTATTATTTTATATATCTTTTTTTTTTCTTTTCTTTCTTTTCCTTTTTATTTTCCTTCTTCGTCCTCCGTCGGTCACTGGCCTCGACGACGGTCGGTGACTAGCCACAAGCGTGGGCCGGCCTCGCCGCAAAGAGGCCGAGTCCTCGAGCTCCGTCAAGGCCGGCAAGCTCACGGCTCGCCAGATCCAGGCGAGCCCGAGCTCGACCAAGGCCGGCGTGCCCCAGCTCGGCCGAGGCCGGTGAGCTACGAGCTCATCAGCCCGAGCTCTGTTAAGGCTAGCGAGCTCGCGGCTCGCCAGATCTAGCGAGGCCGGCGAGCTCAAGGTCGCCTGTGGTCGTTGCTGGGCAAGCCTCGAGCTCGTCTGTGACCATCGCTGGCTGGTCGCGACGGAGGGAGAGGAAAAAAAAAGAAAGAAAAGAGAAAAAAGAAACTAATTAAAATTTGGATTTAAAAAAAAGAAAATATAAATATAAAATATAAAACTCGATTTTTTTTTCAAGATAAATTCATGAGATTAAAATCATTTTCTAAATAATATCCAAACCCTAGAAAACGTTTTCGATAACATATTACCAAACAAAGGAAAACTAACCATTTTTCCTAAAAATTGATTTCCTGAAAATATTTTTCAAAAATATTACGTTTTCCGTAAAACAAACACACCCTTATTTCGCGAAAACTGAATGATTTAGAAAATATTTCTTTTAAAATAATCGCTTGTATCATTTAATATTGACGATAAGTTTTGTCTAAAAATTTTCGTGAATATGGAAATATCGTTCGTTGATTCATTTTTTAAAACGATATGAGCGATTATTTTTTGAAAAGTTTTCCAAATCATCCACTTTTCGTGAAAAAAAATTTGTTTCGCAAAAAACATTTTCCTCATTTTCCGGCGTTCGGTTCGCTTAAGAAAATAAGTCAACGGAAAACCTACGCTTAAATTCACAAAAATGATTTTGTCTTTGAAAAATCGGAAAATATTTTCCTAAATATAGCTAGGTATCGACGCTTGGACCCGAAACTCTATCCTTGGGAACGGAAACCCCAACATTAGTTCTCAAGTCCCTGGAGATCAGGACCAGGTCTCCGGCGCCACAGCTCGGGTCCATCGAGGCCAAGCCTGGGCCCTAGTGCCTGCGCCCGGGTCCATCGAGGCTGGGTCCAAAGCTTTGGAGCCCGTGTCCGATGCCTCAGCACCCGAGCCTCGGTGCATAAAGGCAATGCTCAGATCCCCCATAATCGAGTTCTAGTCCTCGATGAAAGCCGTGCTCGAGTCCTCGGCACTAGGGTTCGGGTCCTTAATTAATGAAACATTCGTTCTAATAAAAGTGTTCTTTTAAAAAAATCAATTTTTTTTTCTTTTGTCTTTCTTTTCTTTATGCTTCTTCCTCGACCGATCGTCAGCCACGACAACAGGCCACAAGCAAGGGACGAGCTCACCTAAGGCCGGCGAGTTTGAGCCTCGTCGGCCTCGGGTGACGCTTGCCAAATTCGGCGAGGTCAAGCTCGCCGGCCTTGGGTGAGCTCAAGCCTTGCTCGATCCAGCGACCTAGACAAGGCTTGAGCCTCACCGGAATTGGCGAGGTGGAGCCTTGCCCGAGGCCAATGAGGCTTGAGCTCACCACAATCTGGTGGGGTTGAGCCTCATCAACATAACGCGAGCTTGTCTCTCGTCTATGACCAAATGCCGGCGACCAGTTGAGGAAGAAAGAAAAAGGAAAAGGAAATTAAAAAACAGTAAAATTTGAATTTTTTGAAAATTTTCCCCAAGAAAATCAAATCGTATTTTCCATACCATACAATGGAAAATACTATCTAGGTCATTTTCAGGTTTTAACCAAATACCGGAAAATAAACATTTTCCATGTTCTATATTTCGATGTTTTGTTTAAATCTGAAAATGAACTAGAAAATATTTTTTGTTGATTAGCAAGGAAAATCTGATGGGGAAAATTATCAAAATTTCTTATTTTTTAATTTTTATATATATTTTTTTCTTTTTGCTTCTTCCCTAGTCGGTTGCTGACCACGGCAATGGGCCTGGCAACTAGCCACAGATAAGCTCAAGCCTTGCCCAAGGCCGATGACCTCGAGCCTCACCGGCCCGGGGTGAGCTCGAGGCTCGTCGCTGAGGCCGCGAGCTCACCAGCAGTCTTTGTGGCCGGCGACCAACCGAGGAAGAAGCAAAAAGCAAAAAGGAAGAAAAGGAAAGAAAAAAGAAAATAAAAGAAAAAATTAAAAGATTTTGTAAAATAATTTTAATTTTTTTAAAATATATTTTTATAAAAACAAAGTTCCATTAACCAAGGACCTGAGCCCGAGCGCCGAGGACCCACGCATGGCTTTTATGGACTTGAATTCGGGTGCCGGAGCATCAGATTTGGGCACCAGAGGTTTGAGTCCGGCCCCGATGGACCGTGCGTAGATGCCGGTGGCTCGAGCCCAAAACACAGGGGTCCCGAGCCCGGCCTCGATGGACCCAGGCTCAGCCGCTAGAGACCTGGTCCAAATACCAATATTTAGTCATATTTTGGAAAACATTTTCCAGTTCTTTTAAAGAGAAAATCATTTTCCTGAATTTAAACTTTAGTAGAAAAATAACATTTTCGTTGACTAAGAAAATATTTTCCATTAATTCATTTTCCTAAGCGAATCAAATACCAGAAAATGAGGAAAATGTTTTCCCGAAAAATGTTTTACGCGAAACCAACGTACCCTTAGTATAAAATCAAGTTTTACATCCTATAAGAAAAATGGTCTGAAACGTTTTGTACCACCTGCAATCAATAATTTAAAAATATTAGTCGACGGATTTTTTTAAAGTTACCTTTAGACCTTGAAATTACTAAGTATGCAACTATTAAAATAATGGAAATTACTGACCGATGTGAAAAGCTCAATTTTTATAGTATATGGAAACTTACTTTCGAGTATGGAAAAATTTGACGACATGTGGAATTTATTATCTGATAGTTCTAAAGTTATTTCTAAGTAATGACAAAATTCATAATCACTAATAAGAGAAGCTTACAAAGTAATGTGAAAAGCTTACTTCGCATGCTATATTTTGATTCATCTTTAATGAAATCTTCAAAGTTTTATCCTATAAAAATGTCCAAAAAATTACGTTGGCCCGCAATTAAGTAAAATCGGTAACTATGGACAGCTTTAAAGTTACTTTTAATTTAGGAAAAGTTTCTCCGGACGTAAAAAGCTAGTAAGCATTGAGAACATTAGTTTTCAATATTAAAAGAAGCATTAACCAATGTAAGCATTGATAGTTCTAGGATTATTTTTAATGTTGGAACTTGGAAGATTACTGAAAAACGAGACAAGATTACGAAAGCAGTGCAGGATAGTAATACTACATATTTTCATTGGCCAATTAATGATGTAACATTTTATTTATTATTTATATTCGATAAATACAATTACATGATCTGATTTTCGCATCAAAAAACATGAAATTCTTTTTTATTTCTCATTGGATAGCACAAACATGAATTAGATTATATTATTAGATGTAATATTTTTTTTTATAAATCTTCTCATTCTAAATGGTCCTATTTTATACTCACAAGTTTTTCTCATTTTATCATGCAGCTGATGTAAACTCATGCCAATACTTTTTTTTTTATGAAAAATGGCTAAAGCCAAATACAAAAATTTATTGTTGTAAATCTAATATCCCTATTTTATCACCTAATAAAACATGAAGTATCTCTGTAGGCAGTAATGAAAAGAAACTAGTATTCAAGTGCTTATCAATTCCAAGATTAGCAAGCCAGTCGACAGAGCGATTTCCTTCCTAAAAGTTATGTTACACTTCAAACTCAAAGTAAGAGCGCAATAAGTTTCTAATATCTTTAAGCAAAACAGGGTCAACATTATCAATCATAAGCTTTGGACTAATAACATCAGTGATGGATTTAAAGTCAATCTTAATGATAATTTTATGAAAACCAAGTTGTTTTGCAAAGTTGAGTCCCAACCATAAAGTCCAAAGTTCTGCTTGTGTTGACGGAACATATTCCTACAAATGTAGCAAAACTGATGTAGAACAGTTAGCCTGTGATTATCTTGAACAATGTGATCGCCGTAATCATCGAAAATCTCGGTAGTTTTTCTGATTTTGGGGAAAATAACCTTTCAAGCAGTTTCCTATATTATCATTTAGGCAGTTTCCTATATTATCAGTTAGGCAGTTTCCTATATTACCAGTAAGGCAGTTTCCTATATTATCATTTAGGCAGTTTCCTATATTACCATTTACGCAGTTTCTTTAATTATTCGGTTTCCATTAGTATTAGGAGTCCTATCTCTATATATAAGATGTCCGTCTTGTAATCAAGGGCACAGTATTATTGAATAAAAATTTCGAGTTCTTTGGAGTTGTTCCAAATTTACGCTTTCTCTCTGCGTCATTTGGTATCAGAGCAGGTTTCTCCTGTGACGATGGTGAATAACGTGAATGTCAATCTCCCCGCTGCTGAGGGCCGTGAGAACGAGCCTATTACGCGGGCTGAGTTCAATCAGTTCGTGGATCAAACCGATCGGAGGTTTCAAGAGATCCTTGATGCCATCCAGCGTTTGTCCACAAACCATGCGCCTGGTGTTCTTCCAGCCGAGCGAATTCTTGTCGTTCGTGATCCCGAAGATGCTATGGGGCGTGGAGGAATTCCCCGACATAGGCGTCAAGACTATGTCGAGGATACGGAAGACGAAGACGATGATTTCCGGGAGATGCGGTCGTGGTGGTCGCCGATCTGAGGGGACTCCGGGAGGAGCATGTTCGTGGGAATCGACATCAGGGAGGATATCGACGAGATCCTGAGCAATATCAACTAAAGGTAGATCTCCCTACTTTCAATGGGAATTTGGATATTGAAGATTTCCTTGATTGGCTTTGGGAGGTCGAGAAATTCTTCGACGCTATGGATATTGACGAGGATCGCCAAGTGAAACTTGTGGCGTACAAGTTGAAGGGTGGCGCTTCAGCTTGGTGGGAACAAACTCAATTGACGCGACGTCGACAAGGCAAGGCTCCTATTCGATCTTGGGGTCAGATGAAACAGAAGTTGAAGAAGAGGTTCCTCCCAACGGACTATGAGCAACCGTTATTTCAGCAATTCCAAAATTGCCGACAATCGAATAGATCGGTCCAAGCTTATACGGAAGAGTTCCTTCGACTCTCCGCTCGTAATAACCTGGATGAGTCCGAGGCACAACAAACTGCTAGGTACATTAATGGTTTGCGACTTAATATTCAGAATCGGGTTTCTTTGCATCGACTATTCTCTGTCGAAGACGCCCAGGATATGGCGCGAAAAATTGAGGTGCAATTGGAGAGGACTAGCCTTAGTACTCGTGGTAGCAATTATTCGGGTCGTGGGTCATTCGGGAAAGGAAGACAGCCTGATATTGCAAGTTCTAGTCAACAAACATCTGATTCAAGCCGAGTTCCAGGGGTACTAGTGGGACGCCTAAGGAAGCAGTCGCAACAAACAATCGCACTCCCAATTATAATACCCAGAATCCATATGCCAAGCCCCAACCGATCAGGTGCTACAAGTGTAACGAGTTAGGCCATCGTTCCAGCGATTGTCCTCATCGTAGAATGGCCAATATCGTTGAACATGACGAAGATGTGTATGAGGAAGATTGGGAAAAGGAAGAAGAAGTGGGAGTGGAAGATGAAGTGGGTGAGCAGGTTAATTGTGTAGTGCGTCGTCTATTGCTTACTCCGCGGACGAAGATACCCAATGGAATCGCTTTTTCCGCTCATTTTCTGTCAACAACAAAGTATGCGATATCATTATTGACAGCGGAAGTTGCGAGAACATAGTGTCAAAGGCCTTGGTGGATCACTTGCAACTAAAGACGGAGCCGCATCCCGCACCCTACACGATCGGGTGGATACGCAAGGGAGCAGAACTTAAGGTAAACCAATTATGCCATTTACCTATTTCGATCGGGAAATCTTATCAAGATACTATTGTCTGTGATGTTGTGGAGATGGATGCGTGTCATGTTTTACTGGGTCGGCCATGGCAATATGATGTTGATGCTACACACTGAGCTAGGGAGAATACGTATTCTTTTGTGTGGAAAATGACTAAAATTACTTTGAGACCGAAGAGTAATTCAAAGTATAAGGAGGATGCTGACAAACGGCGACGTTCGAAAATTTTTGAGGTAGGCGATGAGGTAATGGTTTTCCTACGAAAGGAGCGTTTTCCTGTAGGTACCTATAATAAACTGAAGCACAAGAAGATTGGTCCTTGCCGCATCCTGAAGAAGATCAACGACAATGCCTATATAGTTGAACTTCCGGGTGATCTCAACATTTCCCCTACATTTAATGTGGCAGACTTATTTGAGTATCATGCTTCTGATACACCCCTCTATCCTGATCATAACTCGAGGGCGAGTTTTTCCGAAGAGGGAGGGAATGATGTAGAACAGTTAGCCTGTGATTATCTTGAACAATGTAATCGCCGTAATCATCGGAAATCTCGGTAGTTTTTCTTATTTTGGGGAAAACAACCATTCAAGCAGTTTCCTATATTATCATTTAGGCAGTTTCCTATATTATCAGTTAGGCAGTTTCCTATATTACCAGTAAGGCAGTTTCCTATATTATCATTTAGGCAGTTTCCTATATTACCATTTAGGCAGTTTCTTTAATTATTCGGTTTCCATTAGTATTAGGAGTCCTATCTCTATATATAAAATGTCCGTCTTGTAATCAAGGGCACAGTATTATTGAATAAAAATTTCGAGTTCTTTGGAGTTGTTCCAAATTTACGCTTTCTCTCTGCGTCAAAAACCCCCAAACCAGTCACCCACTCATTTCTAAATAAACTCCATACGCCAACAAGGTTGTCTTTAGAGGCCCCATCAGTATCAGTATCAGTTTAATCCGCTCAAAAGATGGAGGATCCCATATGATCCACATAACGTCGAGTTATTCACAGATGAAGCTTTAATGATTTCCTTTTGTGTATGACCAAATTCCTTGTACCAGATTCGAAGGGAAAACAAAGTTGTCCTAGAAAAGTGACTTGTTTCTCCACTGCCAAAAAAGCTACACACTTCTATTTCCTTTGTGTACGACCAAATTACTTGTACCAATATTTTTATATTCCATTATGATACCTTTCAATTTTTTCACGCATAATTTTTTTATGTACTTTGTTAGAGGATGATGTTATTGTTAGGATATATGTGTGAGTCGTATTAGAAAAGTCTCACATTGAATAATTGGTGTAGTGTGTATATCATAATTGTCCCATAACTCATTAGTTTAAGCTTTTGAGATAACTCATTAGTTTAAATTTTTAAGTTTAAATGAGTTCAACTAGATATGTTGACAGACGCTTCAAACAAATGATATCAGAGCCTATGATTGATTTGATCAAACATGAGGGAAAGAGTGCTGAGATATACGTGTGGGTTGTTTTAAAAAGTATCACATCTAATAATCGGTGTACTCTGAAGCTGTTAATATATCTTAATTGGCCCATAACTAATTTGCTTATGTTTTTGAATAAATGTGGATTCAACTAATCAATTGACAAGCCAATCTTGGTGATCTCTCTAAGTGAAGGTATCGATCTGCTGTGCACTTCCAACAAATATACATCTCTCAACCTATAGTAGTATTTGTCTTGTATATAACTTTACCAGAGACAATAACTCTTCATATAAAGCCATGAACTAATCCAAGTAAAAGCCAGCTACAACTAGAAACCGGACCCTGGATTCGCAAGTTCAGATCCCTATAAATGGCACGAGAGTTTATACATATTCTGAAATCATATTCGTACCATATAAACTCTGGTATAATTCTATATCAATTTACAGAAGTTGATTTACATATACGAATCCTGTCGTTCATGCACTTATGCCGTCAAAGAAAGAGAGAAGCTATCATATGGACACAAACCAACTTAAACTGCATGAACAAATATCATATGTCCTATCCAAGCTGCAGTGGTGCTTGACGAAAGTTCACTGGCTGTCCAGAAACATCACATCGCAGATGGCTACAAATCATCTGCAAGACAATTTGTGGAGTCAGAACAAGGCAAGACAAGCAAGAAAACCGACATATAATTCAAACAAGAATTGGCTTGCTGGAAGCAAGAGAAACTATAATGAATTCGTTGGACTTACACAACAACTTTCAAGATAGAAACTACCCCTCTTAGGTTCCATCAAATGATATTTGACCCGATCGAATGCAAATACTTCCAGATTATGGTGTGGTCCTAATCAGCTCATCACAAATAAGACGAGGCTGCCCTATGTCAAGAGCAATGTATCTTCAGACCTCTCGTAGTAAAGTTGGCTGCCATCTATCAAGTGCATGTATCTTCAGATGGTTTTTCAAGTCACATATTTTACTTGCTCAATACTTTGCAAATGACACAAAATGATACAACTGAAAGAGTTGAGACGATGCTCAAGAGAACATTTGGTTTCCACAATAAATTTTATTCTCCAACTCCTTAAAAGTCGCCAAGGGCGGGGTTCCTTGTCATTAGAGGAAAAGAATGGGTCGTGATTTGTGAGGTCTAGGCAAGCAGCATATACCGAGTGGTAATTAGGTGAAGTTGAGAAGGAATGGACAACTGCCATCAGCACAATTACCAAAATGATGAACCCAAAGAATCCAACAACCAAATAGCATAACTCAATACGGACATTTTGGGAGTAACAACAATTAGCTAATGAACAAACTCCACACCTATCATGGAATTCCATTAGTTTATGACTTGAAATGAAAGATTATATCTACGAAGTTGTGCAATGTGCCACACTTAAGTGAAGTTTCATGGAACTTACCCTTTCCTCTATTAGTACAGAACTATCATAAGTCAACACCCTCATCTAGGCCTTTGGAACTAATCATCACATTTGAGTCAATCTGCTTGTCGAACTTCTTCTTTCTCCTTGCTTCAAATTCTTGGAATCCTTCCATCTACATATTTGGGTGAAAACTTGTGTCAAGTGCATACATATTTGGGATCACATTCTCACAAAAACTGAGGAACAACTGCTAGAACTTGCCTGCTGAAACTGGTCCATTAGAATTGGATTGTTGTGCAAGGATACATTTTGCAGAGATCTACAATCTTTCAACAGATTTGGAGTAATCTGTCAAGCAAGAGAAACAAAAGATCAATGACCAACAGCTTATCTTACAGGAAAATTCTATATATCCTAGAGAGGCACGTAAAATATATCGAAATCAGTTTGCAATGTTGATTGAGAAGCGTGATGCGAATCTTGGTACTTAATAATTCAACATCAAGGACACAGCCGTCATCCGAGGAGGCAATAATAGATGCTTTAGTTGCGGAAAAACTCCGCATTTTGGGCCAAGTTGATCCTGGGCAGAACATTTATAATGATAATGGCTTTTCAGCTGATATTAAAATGATAAATATGCTAAAAATAGTATTCTTTCAAAGTTTTTCAAGTGGAAGGTCATACAACGCTGCAGCTGCTTGTACTGACAGAAAACAATAAATTTATCACTTTCAAAGATGCAGTGAAGCTAATAATTCATTTCAGCAGATGAGTATTAAATTATTGACAACAAACAGCATGAAGAAGTAAGTACAGAAATCATTTGTATATCCCAAGAATGACAGAATTAAAAAATCCAAGCAAGTGTTCAAGATTCCCTCCAGATGACCTAGTTTAAAAGGAACACGCTCCTCATCAATTCACAAAAGAAGTGACAATGTGCACTCATCTTAGTATGTCTTTCATGACCTAGCTTAGTTACACTGCAGTCATATGTAGAATTGGTTATACAATATGATGGCATAACAAGTAGAATAGCTTGGTGATCTCTATCAGATGAATGTCCATGGAAATACCTGGTTCACATTATTGTTGTTCAATGAGAGTGACTTCAAATTAATAAGATTGCAAAATGATGAAGGGATATCTTCGATAGAATTATCTGCAGAATTAACCACAATGAAGAAACAATGAATCCAGATAGTGATGTTCAGAAATTTTGAAGTAGAAATTACTAGATAAGCTTATAACTTCAACTTTCAATGGACACAAGATCAGTCCAGTCATCACATTCTTAGATGAAAAGTACAAAACACTTAAGACTTATTTATGGACCACAATAAATTAAACTGAATCAAGGATCTCAAAGAAAACTTATCTAAGTCGCATAGGAAGTATAGTTCCATCTCACTAGGACCACAGATAAAACACTATAAGCTTCATTTGGAACAATCATATAGTATATGCAGATTAGAACTCCTAACAGACCTAGCAAATGCTAAACATACAACACATGTAAAAAAAGCAGGAGACCTTTACGAGGGATCGTGCATTTCATATACAAACCTCTTGACACCTCAGGATTCATGCAAAAATGATTTCACCTTCAAGGGCATTCTACTTGCCAACTTTCATTACCACTTGGTAACAGATTGCAAACACTCGGATGAACTGACCCCAGAGTAATTATGATTATGTTAACCCTTACCCACAAGATAAGTCAAGATACTTAAATGGTCAAATGCATATCCTTCAATTCTAAAGCAATGTGACTTGACAGATAGGATTTGCTAAGAAAAGCATGGCTAAACAGGGAAAAAACCCATCTGGAAGAAATTAACATCAAACATCTATAATTGCATATAACTGTGCCCCAAAAATTTAAACGATAATCACGATTATTACTACTACGTAGGAGAAATCAGACTCATTCAGGGAAGGATAGAAAAGAAAAGAAATACCATCTGCTCGCAGCTCTTCCAAAGAGAAGCAGCTTCCTATTGACTCTGGAAGTGACGTCAATTTATTATTTGAGACATTCAAAAGCAATAACTGCACAATAAACAACAAATATAAGGCATATCCTAAATACATTTAGTTCCACCATCTCACAGATCAATTATTAATGAAAAAGGAAAGGGTAATGTAGCTTCAAAATAGCACCAACTGCAGTAAAAACAACACATCAGAAATATCTCTGAAAACACTTAGTTCCACCTTATCACAGATCAATTTCTTAACAAGAAAAAGAGGAATGTGGCATTAAGATAGCACAAGTGGGTCGAAAATTTTATCCATGGACTGGCTCAAAGTGTCAACTAAAACCAAGCTTTATGTAAGTCGACAATCATCGGTCATCAGTTAAAACCAATACATGCATTGACTACATACTAAACAACAAGAAAATATTAAGAACAGTTACAGATGGACTAAGGGAACTAAAAGTAAAGGTTCTTGATGAAGCAGGCAACCAACATCCGTCTTAATGTGAACTTTAAATCTGTTAAGTTACATAGCAGTGTTTCATTACATAGTGCGATTGTCGAAGAAGATTTCCACAAAAGAGAATGAAGTTGTAGTATGGCAACTAGGAGGACCAATAATACCGATCAGAGAAAACTCTCCAGTCAATGCCACAAAACAGTCTTCACAAACTAAATTTCCTTATTTATTATCTCTAAGCTACAAAAGAAAAAAAAAGTGTGCCAATAATTGGATTCACGTAACACGTAAATCACTTACATTGCGCAAGCTCCCAATTGTCTCAGGCAAGTAAGTTAACATGTTTCCTGAGATAGATAACTGCTCAAGCCTCACTAGCTGTCCCACTTCACAAACAATTGCATATATGAAGTCAAAAGATGCAGAAAAATTTCGTGCAGGTAATAAAGGAATTTACAGAAGTTAGCCACGCCTTCAGTTTGAAGAATAATGGGGTAAAAAAATGCAAGATTGGACACGGCTTTCTCTTATGTAACTAGATAAGGAAATTACATTCATCAGGCAAGGTGGACATTCGATTTGCATCAAGTATCATAACTTTCAACGACTGAAGTTTCCCCAAGCTTACTGGCAGCCGCTCAATTGAGTTATCAGCTAGAACCTGCAAAATATAGCTTGGTTTGTTAAACAAAGAAGCAAGCATCACATGATTACTACCAAACCCCAACCCCCCACTGCCCCCCCCCCCCCCCCACCCCCCCAAAAAAAACCATCAACCAAGAAAAAGGAAAAAATGCACAGGGACCTCAAGCTATGATCACTGTGAACAATTTCGAGATTCCGAGAATAGAGAATTGAAAGCATTTCGAATTATAGAGGATTGCGATGCCTCATATACGTGATATAGAACCACAAGGATCTTACCAGGCGTTGCATGTTGATTAGCTTGTTGATCTCCAGGGGAACGTCAACTGCAGGAACAAGAATAACAAAGGCAGATCAGATTTGATAGGATGCCTTCACATAATTAAAAATCAACGTTAGTTTGCTTCAGAGGCAGGATATCATTACCTAACCTGTTATGGGTTAAATCGAGAGTTCGTACGGATCTACCCAGATCAAGAACTTCATCCGGTAACGACTGTACCAAGAAATACATAAATAGCGTGTTTGTAAGGGAACGAACGCATCTTTTATCATAACAAGAAGCTAAAAAGCTGTACACGGTAAACCAAGCATATTCATTCCCAACTCTGTTCTCTTTCACTGACATTGCATCCCTTCCTTACTCAGTAAGTATTGCTCCACCTAATTGTCAACTCTACGCCCAGATTTCTTTCAACTAGGATGGTTTGCAACCACAAGGTGGTATCTTAGTATTGCTCCACTACTTCCCTGCAATGCATGACTCAAAAAGGGTATCTTAATATTTCTTCATGTACTATTTCGCATGGACAACCTAACACTATTTCGCATGAAGGACCTGATACAATTTAGACATTCCACTGCTCTTTCCCCGTAACGCAAGACTCCACGCTGAACTCCTCACATGATCATGGACATCTATCAATCAAATCACCCCCAACACCATTTCCTTTCTCAACAACAACGCCATTCACGACTTGCTGCCCGAGCGACGACTTCCTCCATAGCCGAGAAAGTTGCGTAGATTGCAATAGCTATACCGTCATCGACCTACGAGATAATCAGCAGCCCGTGATCGTAACAAAGCAGCAGCTATCCGTCCCGACAGCCGATCAGGCGCTTGCCATCAACTACCAGCGACAAGTCCAAACAATCGATGAACGGAGAGAAACCCATGCACGCACATTAAAAGCAGAGGAGAAAAAAAACCTTCAATTTGGAGTCGCGCAGAGCGACAATCCCGGTCGATCGCCAGCGAGCGATCCGGCTAGCCTTCGAGTCGGCGTTTCTGCTCACGCAACACCCCATCCGGCTGCTCCTCCGCCGCGGCCGCCACCGGTCTCCGGTGCTGACGTCGCGATCCTCTCGCTGCGTGACTCTCTCTCTCTCTCTCTCCCTCTCTTCTCTCGCTCCCTAGATGCAGAGAAAGAGAATGTGGAGAGACGGTCAATGACGATGACGATGAGGAGTCTTCCTTTGTCGCTTCTTTTCGGGTTCTGATGATACGAGGAAGCCTGGCGGCTCTTTTTTTTTTTTTTTTGGGTCAGATTTTTTTTTTTGGGGAGTTGGCTGGCTTAAAACTGCCTTGGGGAAAATTGCAAATAACCCCCTCAACTCTGGGTCAATTGCGATTCGCCACCTGAATCCCCTTCAATCTTTCGATTTTCTTGCGAAAAAACGTAGCCCAAATCTTGAATGCCCTAAATGATCGTTCTCGCTTCGATACACTCCAATTTTGTTGGCGATGACACCTATCGGTGGCCAACACCACTGTTGACAATCATTTTTGTGGATCGATCGACAGTTTTGCTCCGTTCGAGTCTATTGATGGGTCGAGATCTTCGTTCATAATTACAGAATGAGTGATCTCTATTTTGACAGTACGTTTTAATTTTTATCCCTCTTTTTCTTTGGAACTGATTTTGACGTCGAATCAGTCACTTTAACTAGAATATGATCTAATAGAAAGAAATCAAGCTTAAAATGGCGTTGCGTGATTCATAAAAAGTAGAGATAAGTCGCCACTTATTGACGGTTGAAGGGGGCGTTTCACAATCACAAAAGAAGGAAAGGATCCTTTCAAAATTCGGATGCTTATTCATCTCCATATTTGCATAAAATGGAAGGGCAAAAATCACCCAATTTATCCTATTAGTCGTACGCCTTATACGGATGTCAATTTAGTTCTAAATATTTCAATTTTACTAATTTAGTTGTAAACATTTGCATAATATTTCAATATAGTCCTTCTGACCAATTTCACCAGAAATCGCTAACGTTGTACTACAGTCATCGGTTGAGCGTCCTACATGGCATAGCGCCACATCAGTGATTTATGATAAAAATCGGCTGAAAGAACAATATTGAAATTTTATATAAAGCTTTTATGGCTAAATTGACAAAATTGAAAATTTTATGATTGAATTAACATCCGTACAATAGATTTAGAATTAATTGGACAATTTTCTCAAATAGAAAGACATGATGCTAATTCCATTTTGCCTCGTAATTTGAGAGGGTGGAGAGAGGTCTCTTTTCTTCCCTTCACTTAATTTTAAATCTCAATCCAATAGTCGTCATTTTATCAAGTCTAAATAAGGGCACGAAGTGTCATCATTTTCTCAAATAAAAGCTTTAAGTGCTTTTATTTTCTCAAATAAGAACCTTAAGTGGATCTTATTTCAAATAAAGGCATAAAGTGATCATGTCAGTCTCAAAAAAGTGCTTAAAACACTAAAATTGATCATAATCTTAAGGGAAATTTTCAATTTGGGGTCCAAAGTGAGCCCATTTTCTCAAAATGGGGTCCCAAGTGCAATCAGTCTCAAAATGGGGTCCCAAGTGCCCAATCAGTCTCAATTTGGTACCTGGATTCACCGGCCGGCCAAATAGTCACCGGCGGCGAGTTTTTTATTGTTCCGGTAGTCGGAACAGTAATTTTTTACTTTTAAATTTTTTTTTTGCTTTTTTCTTTCTCTATGGCCGGCGGAGGCTGCCCTCGCCAGCGTCACGGAGGGCCGCCCAGCCTTCCCCGACGGCCCTCGCCGGGTCTAGCGAGGGTCGCCCTCGCCGGCTTCGAGCGAGGGCCGCCCAGCCTTCCCTAACGTCGGCGAGGGCAACCCTCGCTTGGGCGAAAGCGGGTCGGCCCTCGCCCGCCCGGCAAGAGCGACGGCGGCCCTCGCCCGACGCCCGCCCGGGCGAGGGTTGCCACTCGCCGGCGCCGAGCGAGGTCGCCCGGCCTTCCTGACGGCCCCTCGCGGATCTAGCGAGGGTCGCCCTCGCCGGCGTCGGGCGAGGGCCGCCCAGCCTTCCCCGACGTCGGCGAGGGCAACCCTCGCCTGCGGCGTCGGGCGAGGGCCGTCGGGGAAGGCTGGGCAGCCCTCCCCGACGTTGGCGAGGGCAGCCTCCGCCGGCCATAGAGACAAAAAAAAGCAAAAGAAAAAAGCAAAAAATTACTGTTCCGGCCACCGGAACACTAAAAAAGACTCGCCGCCGGTGAATATTTGGCCGGCCGGCGAACCCAGGTACCAAATTGAGACTGATTTGGCACTTTGGGTACCAAATTGAGACTGATTGGGCACTTTGGGTACCAAATTGAGACTGATTGGGCACTTAGGACCCCATTTTTAGACTGATTACACTTGGGACCCCATTTTGAGAAAATGGGCTCACTTTGGGCCCCAAATTGAAAATTTCCCTAATCCTAATCTTTACTAATATGTTAACTGATATCATATCAGTAAATTTTCAATAAAGAAAAGCATTAAAAATCAATGCAACATGTACTTTTTGGTTTCGTTTGTTTAGTAAATAACATTTTCCTCATTTCCTTACATTTGACTTGCTTAGGAAAATGAGTCAATAGATAATTTTTTTTCTAGTCAACGAAAAGCCTATGCTTAACTTCAATAAAATAAATTTTTCTTTAAAAAATCGGAAATCATTTTCGAAAAATATAATTAGGTATCAACGCTTCGACCAAAAACTTTACGCTTGGGCACATAAATCCTAATGCTAGTTTCCAGGACCTTAGCGTCCAAGACCAAGTCTCCGGCACTCAGGCCTAGGTCGATTGAGGTTGAACCCTGGACCTCGGTGCCCATGCTTAGGAACTTGGCACTCGTGCCCAAGCCCTTGATGCCCGCGCCTAGTCCATCAAGGTCAAAGCCTAGAACCCCGGTGTCCATGTTGGGCTCTTGGCGCCCGCACTTGAGTCCATCGAGGTTGGGATCGAAGCCCTGATGCCCTAGCACCCCGGCCCGGGTCCACAAAAGCCAAGTGCGAGGTCATGATAAACGAGCTTGGATCCGCAACACTAGGGCCCAGGTCCTAGACACTTGAGTTTTGGTCCCCAGGTCCACAAAGGCCGTGCTTGGGTCTTTGGAGCTTAGGCTCCGATCCTTGGCACCCGAGCTAAGGTCTATTGAGGCCGAGGCCTGAGACCTCAGTGCCCGTGCTTAGGTCTATTGAGGCCGAGCTAGGCACCTCGATGCTCGCGCCCTAGTCCATCACGGTTGGGTTTGGGACCCAGGTGCTTGTGCCCTGATCCCTAGAGCCTGGGTCGAGGTCCATTGAAGTCAAACTCGGGACTCTAGTGCCCATACCCAGTCTCTCTGCTACTTATGCGCAAGTTACTAGTACTTTAATAGTGTATGTTTATTTTGAAAAATCAAATCAAATGTTGCATATAAAATGACGGAAAAATATTTTCCAGTTCATTTTCAGGTTTCAGCCAAACGCCGGAAAATATTATTATTCCTGAAAAATAACTTTGTGAAAAAATATTTTCTAGAAATGTCACATTTTCCTCGAAACTAATGAATCCTAGTTATTATTAATATTCTCAAGTGAGCAATTAATTTTCGTATATATTGAAATAACTTTAGATATATGTCTGCGTCCGTTTTTTGGGCACGTAAAATAAACCGTACGATGAGGCCCCGGAGCAAAGAATTTCTCATATTTTGGGTGTTATTATAACCGTTTCCTAATTCCGCTGTTTAATTGCAAAAGCAAGTACCAAATTGGAAGAAGCAGGAGCTGCCCAAAAACCTCTCCTTTTCCTCGCCGATCGCACCGGCGCCGCGAAATCCCACCGGCCTCTTCCCGACGGAGCCGCCGCCGTCGATCTCCAGCGCGCCGCCGCGTCTGCCTCCTCTCTTCGCCGGGCAGGTCTCAGTTCGGCCTATCTCGCTCTCTCTCAGTCTCTCTTTCCTGTGAGTTCTCTCTCGCTCTCTCTCTCTCGCTCTCTCTTCGTCAATCACGATTCCTTCGCTTGCCGTCAGCGAGGACCGGTGCTCCGATTGCCGAGTTTCTCTGTTGAAGTTGCGGAGGAATTATGTGTTGCTTGCCTGCTGTCTTGAGTGAATTCTTCTTCTTCTTCTTCTTCTTCTTCTATTCCGTGACTTCTGTTCTTGTTTTTATGTCGAGCTCCTTTGGTGGGCGCGATAGTAGAACTGTTTTTCCCTGAGATTCATTTCGTACTCGCTACTGCTTATGATCCTCTGATTCAATTTAACTTTGGTCGTTCTAGTATCTGAGATGATGTATAATTCCATGTGTTCGTTGGCATATACTTTGTAGGCAACAGCGGTATACAATTCTCTGGTAACCATCACTGCATTTGGCCATGGGAAGTGAGAGCAATCTCAAGACCTGGGTCTCAGACAAGTTGATGTCACTATTGGGGTATTCCCAATCCACTATTGTCCAGTATTTCATTGAACTGGGTTAGTTATCTCTCCATCCATTTATGTTCAGTATTCCTTTTTTCAAGACAGGCGCCATGCACAACTTCTGTGCGATAAAAATGGTGAATTTGTGGTTGCAGCTAAGAAGGCGTCTTCACCCACTCAAGTGGTGGACAAGCTGGTGGAGTTTGGACTATCATCGTCGAGTGAAACCCTTGCTTTTGCGGAAGAAGTTTTTGCCAGAGTACCCCATAAAGAAGCTGGTTTGAATGTGAGTTGTTGTAGAAGCAGTTTTGATTTACTCCGCATTTCAGCAAGCATTTTTATTGTTATCTTTTGGTCGTAACCTGCCTAATTTACTTTTCATTTTGTCCTCACCAGCATTATCAAAAGCAAGAAAGGGAAGCTGCTTTGTTGGCAAGGAAGCAGAAGACTTATGCACTTCTGGATGCTGACGACGATGACGACGATAGCAAACATAACGTCAGTCAAGGAGGCATTGACAATGGGTCTTCTAGCATTGTGACTTCAGAGACTGGCAAAGGAGCTTCTCGAAATAAACGGTTTAGGAAAAAGAGTGGAAGTCATGAAGATGAGGATGAGGAGGTAGGGGGACAAGTTGATCTTGGTTGTCTCTTTATATTTAACAGTTATGTCTGCTTAAATCAATTATTTTTTCTAAATGCACTGCTGCAGTCTGTTGCTCATGTTGATGAAGAAAGAATGGTCAAGAGACGGACTTCTCACGACGAAGATGGTGGCTCCGAGGTATCTTATTTTCTGTTTCCATTC